AAAATACCTTGTATTTTTTTTTTACATTTTTAATGGAATTTCAAGAGTTAATATATCAATGTCTTTGTCACTGCAAGATCCTGGAAAAATTTCACATTCACGTTGGTTAATAACAGCCAACAGAATTTTAAGGTTATATTTACACATCAGATCCATGGCAACATGTTAATGTTATTGAGCCTACTTTAACAAAACACATCTCAATTAATAATTTAAAAAAATAATTTTCTCTATTTCTGATACAATTGATATTGAAAAAATAATTTGCCACACTCAAGCAGTTGAACGATGTATAAAACTTGTATCAAATATTTCTACATCATTATTTGTGGAAATAAATCAAGAGATGAAGTCATCTGAGCTAAGCTTACATCTCAGTGTGAATTACCAAGATTTAAAACTAAAAAACATTTCATATTAAAATAAATATAAATTCTGCCTAAATCTTTTTTTACAATTTATATCTTTGCTGTAATTAAAGCTATATAATAAATATACCGTTGCTATGAGCAATAGGTGAGTGTTGAAGTCCTTAGCAACATAAGTCGTCAAAGTAAAAACTATTTAATAAATTTTTCTCGTATTTTCTTTTTTTTTTTATATATATTTTTTCTGCATTGACAGAAAAAATATATATTTGTTTTTATTTCAATATATACTAGTTGATATTTCGCTGATCTATTGTGATCAGCGTCATAAGGTATAATAAAAATTGTTACAAAGAAAATCGTTATAGTCGTTATAGATTTGAAGATATAAAATGCTAATGCAAAAAACTAACTCATTTTTCTTCAAAAATGCATATAAATTAACATAACTTCAAAATCGTTTTAAATAAAAACTCCAATATATATTAAAAAAGCAAAGAACATAATGAAGGAATACAGAAATAAGCTATTAGTTCATGCTCGCAACGAAGCTAAACACAGATTTTACTCAAGTATAAAAATTAAAAGTAAGATTAAAAGACTATGAATTAATTAATAGTATAACTAACAAAATCAAAAAATTACCATTATATTAAGAAAAAAACAGAAATGAAAGAAAAATATGATAAATTACAAACTAAATTGAATATAAAAAATACTCCTAGAATAAATCCTCCAAATCAAGTTGTTAAGCCTGCTATACTTAATTTAACTAATGTTATTTTGGATGAATCAACAACTGAATTACTCAATCTAGGTTCAAAGTTTGAGCCATTACAGAAAAAAATCCCTTATATGGACAATATAACAAATGTTGAAATGTGTGCTTTGCAACTTAAAAAATAGGATAAATCAACACAGTAGACTTTCTAAGACAAAACTGTTCTAAAATTTTGACAAATTTTTAAAAACTAATTTTAAAAGATAATTTAACTAAACAACAATGTATTTCTATAAGAAAATTAAAGATGAATTCGAATATTAGGATTTATTCCTTTGATAAAGGCACAGATTTTGCATTGCTATAAGAAAGGGATGCATGTCTTAAATTAGAAGAACAAATTAAAAAGAGCAGAATTATTGACCATGACCCAACACTCACACTTACTAACATATTTCAAAAACAATTGTGTAAATTAAGAAAAGAGGGTAAGTTAAACAATAATCATTCCATATATTTGAGGTGGTACGCAACAGATTGCGTACCACCTCAAATATATGGAGTGATTAAAGCGTACAAACCCAAAAAAAATTACCCCATATGTCCTGTTGTATCAACAACCAACACACCACGATATGGAACCTAAAAATACCTTGTTAATATCATTCAACCAACAGTAAACAATAACAAAAATAGACTTATTAATTCAAATAATTTTGTTAATGAAACCAGACATTGGAAAATAGATCCCATTGAAGTTCAAGTTTCTTTTGATATAGTTAATTTATATCCATCCATACCCATTAACAAAGCTTTTCCAGTTATCATTGATATATTAAATAATCGACAACTAAAGACTTGAACAAAACTTTTGTTTGTAGACATACACCAATTAATAGACTTTTCGATTGCTTGCTTTAACTCATTAAAACAACAATAAATATTTCCTAAACAAACAAAATAATCTTAAACAAACAAAATCCTTCCATAAAATACACTGTTGAACTTGAAAACCACCAAAAGCAACTTAGTTTACTAGATATTAACATTACAAAAAAAATGCATGGAGCTTATGAATTTCAAATATATCAAAAAGAAGCAATGACTAATATTCAATATAAACCAAATTTAAAAATCAATCCTAATATTATCACTGGAGTATTCAAAGAGATTTTATGCAGTGCAAAAAGAATATGTTCTCTAAAATACCTCCAACAGGAAATTGATTTTTTAATAAAAATATTTGTTGAAAATGGGCACAACAAGAACAATTTCACTAATATTACCAGAGACTATATAAAAATAGATGAAAAAAATACCAGTTATCAACCAACTGACAACAAACCATTTATAAAGCTAACGTGGGTACCAATTTTTAGCCCCAAACTTAGAAAAGAACTTAAAAAACAAAACATAAAAGTTATATTTACATTAACTCCAAATTTAAACAATACATTCTGTAACAATAAAACAAAAGTACCTCAAAATACAAACTCAGGCATCTACCAAATGTTTATGCAACTCTATATACATTGGTGAAGCACCAGAAAAATAGTAAAAAAGGAAAATGGACCAGTTCTGGTGCTACTGAGCATTTCAAATCATGCCAAAGTACATTTGACTGGTTAAATCCGAAAACCATATCAGAAGTTCCAGAAAATCATATTCAGAAAATTCGAGAATCCCTGGAAATAAGGAAAGCTAAAGTTTGACAAGTGTTGGGAAGTGGCAAAAATGTTTATAATAGGGATGATGGTGATAATGTCACAACAAAAGCTTGGGGCCCATTTTTTATTAGATTATCTGACATCAACATTTAATCCTATTTTGTATTTTCTCATGCTCTTTTTAATTTTATCATTTTAACGGTTTGTTTTTATTATAAAGTTTTTTTTTGTAACGGTTTTTATTATACCTGATGACGCTGATCACAATAGATCAGCGTAATATCAAATAATATATATTGAAATAAAAACATATATATTTTTTGTGTAATAATTTCGTTCTCTTTTTAAACTTTGTTTACTTTTAAAATAAGATAAGTATTACTTTACAAGGTTTTCATTTTTCATTCGAATGCATGCACTTTCAATGGGTTTTTTGTTTGCATAATAATGTTAAAAAGAAAAAAAGTATTTATTCAACGGTTAGTAGAAGTCAAACCTCTAGTTATTTAACTTATTTTTTCTTAAACTTTGCATCCTTTGCAACTTTGCGTGGATAATTTTGTGCGTGTGTATGTTTTTGAGTTGCCTGCATTTTGTTCCGATAACTAAGTAAACACAAAAACAAAATACATTTCAAATATATTTTGACAATAAATTTATTTTCAATGAATGTTTTAAATGTAAGTACTGACTTTTGCTCTGCGATTAATAACACCAAAGTAATTATAAAATTTTTAATTTTTAAAACTAAAAAAGTTAACATTCTTGGTATTTTTAAGATAGCTGGGAGAAAAAGAGCGATAATTCCGAAATAAAAACGAAAGCAAAAACAAACAAACACTTTTAGATTGCGTTCATTGGACTAAAAATGAAGATAAAAACAAGCAGGTAGTTGAGTAATTTTAAATTCTTATGATATCCATGAAAGAATAATTAAAATAATTCTGTTTACCATTATTTCTTTATAGTTCTATGGTATAGAGATCGGTATCGATGACTCTAATGTGTTGCCGGATCATAATTCTGACAAATCTTTTTTTGCTGATGACATTGATGACTCCCAAAAAACATCATCACCTTTATAAAAAATCTGTTGGATTTTGTAATTGATCGTCATAATGACCAACAAATATGTAAAAGTAATCTTTCTCTACAAACTCGACCAACCTCTAACGATCCTGCATTATGGAAATCAATATCAGACGCTGATCAATCAACTATAATTTTGATGGGACCTTTTTCAAATCCCAGCAATTTTCCAAGAGATAAAAAAGAATGCAAATTCTCTACTTAAATCTTTATAGAAGAATAAAGATACAGAGAAAAAGTTAGAGATTGGCTCGTTTAGAGTAAGGCTGTGGAATCACTCTTTTGTTTCAATTTTTTGCCTAATTTAACCAGAAATATCGAATAATATATATTGAAATAAAAACAACTTGTGTTTAATCCAGTTTGTTGTCTTGGAACGGAGGTTAGAACATGGAAATAGAAGAAAACTTTCAGATTGCATTAAAAGTCATCAACATATTCACCATAACTATTATCTTGAATGGAAAACAGCTCACTTTAAAAGTCAAAAGTCCATTGATCATCAATTAAAAAAATAAATTGGAGATGAAACTAAGCGATGGAAAGTAATTTTACAATGCATTTTTGATGTCACAATTTTTCTAGCTTCAAGAGATCTAGCTTTTAGGGGTAAGAATATTGCTTTTAAATTTTAAACTGTATTTTATATTATTTTATTTGTAATTTAAAAATCAAAATTATAAGTTATAATTGGAAATAAATATGGATTACTATTTTGATTATTTTTAGTTTGCGATTAGGACCCAATTAAAAGTTGTTCAAAAATAGGAATAGAAACTTCCTTGGAGCGCTCGAATTAATTGCTCCCCACAACCAAGCATTACAAGATCATAAGCATCTTATTGCTAAGTACCAAGAAAAAAAACGCAAGCAAGCTCATTACTTGACCTAGAAATCACAGATTTATTGATGAGTATGGCGAATTAGTGGTTCAAGAAGTTAATCAAGAAATCAAAAAATCAATAAATTTCACCATCATCACGGCCAGCACACAATTTGTCCTACATAAGAAATTTTGCTTGATTTTGTTCTATATGTTTACTTTTATGTATATATTTTCAACTATCTTTTTAACTAATTTTTATGTATTGATAGTTTTAAACCTTTAAGGTTTGAAAACAACTTCATTTTATATAAATTACATTTTCATCTCATTCCTACAAATGAATTTTATAATATTTTTCATAGACTTCTAAATTATAAAAACACATCACTGCCAGTAGGAAAATTGATAACACTGCTCATCAGTGATTTTGTTTCGAAATCAAAATTATTTATTTCTTATGTATTTCCATCTGCTGAATTGAATCAAAAATGACATATTAGCTCTAGTTTATGAAATAAAAGCAAATAAAAGCTCTAGTTTATGAAATATTCTCTCAAAAGAATACATTTTCAATTTTTTGAAAATTTTGTTTTTTTGTTTTTGACTATCCATATTGTTTTAATCATGTTCAAAACTTGTGATATTAGATATGTATGTTTGCTAAAGTTTCTGGCCTAATCTATTCTTAGTTTTTTTATTTTATTTTATGTAAAATTTGACAAATCAACATGACAAGGAAGTGTGTAAATTTAGTGGACAATTTTTGTTACATTTGTGGTGAAATAACATTTTCCTTACAGAAAAGAAATATGACACCTCTTGCGAAGACTGCTTACCAGCATTACTTAGATATGAAGGTAGGGGACCAGGACCAGTCATGGGCTCTACATGCTGTTGCTCTTGTTCAGTTACACTACAAAAATAGTTTAAAAATAAAAATTTTTTTTTGGCTTTTGCTGTTCTTATTGTATGGAGAGACCCTAAAAAGCATACAGATGACTGCTATTTCTGCTTGACCCCACCCATTAAGGCAAGTTTGTCAATGAAGAAATTAGAAACAGTTAAATATCTGAATCTTCCATCTGCCATTCAACCTATTCCACATTCAGATAGTTTGTCAAAGGTATGAACAAAGAGGGGCAGGTTTTTAGGTATTTAAGAAACAAATTTCCAAAAATAAGTAATGCAAAATTTAAAGAGGGTATTTTTGTTGGGCCACAAATACGTCAACTTATGAAGAATCCTGCATTTGATAAAGTTTTGAAAGGGCAAAAAAAGGAAACTTGGGAAACTCTTATATGAGTGATTTGTGGACTTTTGGCAACAAACAAGATGATAATTATATTCAATTGGTAACAGTACTTCTGCAACAATACCATTAACTTACTCAGCAAAAATACCATTAACTTGAGAGACATGTAACATGTCTCTCAAGATTCATTTCCTCCACTAACACCTAGACTTCTTTTCCCCCAATTGTGGAGCTGTTAGTGATAAACACGAGGAAAGGTTTCGCCAAGTTATTTTTGTAATGGAACAAAGATATCAGACTCGTTAGAATGCTTGCAGATTACTGTTGGTTTGTGTGTAGGGAAGCTTCAGAACTAGTCTACAAAAGGAAAGCAAAAAGATCATGATCATGTGACAATACCCCATAATCATCTTTATACCTATTAGCTTGACGATCATGATTTCTTTGTTAAACTGTTAGAATATATCTGTAATAAAAACCAAATGTACTTTAAATACTATTAGAATATGTAAACATTGTTTTGTGGCATATTAACCAAAATAAAAATTTATTGCTATCATATATTTCAGAAACTAGAGCTAATAAAAAATTTTTGTTGTCATTTTCTTTTTTCTCAGCCCAAAATTAGTATAATTTGAATAAAATTGCTAGATACAAAAAAATATATTTTTTTGTTGCCCAGTGTAATTTTGCAGCATTTTATACATCTCCTAAGCATGATACTTTAAATTATACTTTTTTAAAGTATTTGCAATTTTTATTTTCATTTTTTAAAGAAAGATTTTTCGATATCAAAGGAACCAATGTAAAAGGAAAGTTTCTTTAGTGAATCAATTTAATTTTAATAAATGTAAAATGTATAACATAAGTTGTTGTCTGTTTTTGAAATAAAGTTTTCCAAAATGACCTAAAAAATAATTCTAAAATATGATGATGGCATATCACCTCATCCTGTCTTACTTGAAGTACTGCTTTTAAGTATTTAGTAACGACTATGTTTGATGAAAAAACAGTAGAAAAATATTAAAAAAAACAACAGTAAAAAACAAAATACAAATAAAAGCAGTTACTATTTGTATTGTGCTAAATCAGCAAGAAAAAACTATTTATTGCTTAGAGTACCAACATATCAGGTCCCTGGTTTTACCGCACTCAACTTGTTTCTTTAGGCAGCGATCTTGTTTGTCAAGATTCATATTTCGAAGTTAAAAAGTTGAGAGGGTTATAATCACAATTAAAAAAAAAAGTCTTGTCTTACTTTGAGTAGTTTTAAGTATTTAGTAATGACTATTGTTTGATGAAAAAACAGCAGAAAAACATTTAAAAAAAAAATACAGTACAGTAAAAAACAAAATACAGTAACACTATGCAGTAAATTTATTTTCCAGTTCTCAAGTGGAAACAGAATATAAAAATGAATTAAAAAATTAAAAATTAAAAAAAGAATTAAAGAATTAAATCTTAAAAAGTATAAAAAGAAAATTACCACTTCCACCCCAGATCCCCACCCCACCTCAAATCTAATGACCCTCCAATCTGCGCTAGCTTGAATTTTGTCTCCACCTATCCCCACAATTACAACTACCCAATCAATAAATTTTTATCATTGAAAAACTCGTCCACCTTGCTATTCAACCCTTCCTTACAATTAGGTAGGTGAGACTAGATTTTGCTAAAAACAATTTGTTAAAAATAAACATAATATTTAATCTTACTCAGCATTTTATACATGTGTTTTCAAAAAATACACTCCATTGGGAAGTCATTGCAAATTAATTTCATATGCATTATTCTTATTATTATCTAAATAAAATCTTTTAAATAGATCTCTTGTTGTAAAATATTGTTTTTAATCTAAGCTGGTTGTATTTATGTAAAACAAATTATATTAAAAGTATCATACACTTAAAGAAGAAAAGAAACACGCAATTATTAGTATGTATTAAATCGAACAAATTAAAAAACGAAACAGATGCAATGGAAGTTTTGTGTTTTAGTTTTATTCAGTTAATTCAGCATAAAAATAAAACTCAGCAGAACTTAGAGATAAGCTACATAAACACTTTTATAACAAAAAATGATTTTTATATTAAAAGCAACAATATTTTATGCAGCCATTAGCAAAATTGATTCTATGAAAAATTTATGTGGTACTACAATGAAGCAATTTTTCTTTTTTCAATGCATATTCAAAAGTATAAACGTTAAATATATACCATTATATTAACAATAACTTGGTTAATAAATAAGTTTCAATAAACAAAGTTATATGTTGTATTCATTCTGTACACTCAAAAGATAACATTAAAAAAAGTTTAGCAGCACAATGACTTCCTTATTATTTGGTAATAAAATTGTGTCTAAAGTTAATAATCTTTAAAACTTTAAAATAATTACTTTTTTAACATTAGTTTATTAAGATTTATTTTGTATTAGTTTTATTATAGCATTATGATATGTCTGATAACGATCTTTTAAGATCTATTTACTATTCTTTCAGATCTATACATAACGAAAAAATATTCTTCTGTTATTTATATTTTACTTCTAAAAAAAAATTTATCAAGTTATTATGATTTTTTGATTTTTCCAATACAAAAAGTTTTTGTTAACTGAAGAAATTTCCTAAATGAGGTCAAAAAAATCATTTGACTTACAAAGTTTGAGTTAACCAAGGTTCAACTTAAGCGGAGATTTTTATTAGTAATTAATTAGATGATTTCAAGAGAGCAAAAAAAAAAAAAAAGATAACAAAAGATTAAGTTAACTGGTATTTGAATTTTATTTTTCATTTTTAAAAGGTTAAAGAGTGTCAAATGTTATGACCATGACTCTCGCGGGATTGCCCATATATATATATATATATATATATATATATATATATATATATATATATATATATATATATATATATATATATATATATATATGTAGAAAGATAACTTGTGCAAGTGCAATAAACATCTCAAAAAAAAACTTGAAAAGGGCAGACTACAATTGTTTGGATGAAAGTGTTGTTTTAGTGTTAAAGTTGCGAAAAAGAAAAAAGGTAAAATTTCTTCTATATTGTGTAATCAAATTGCAGGCTTTTGCGAGGTGAATTTTTTTGATTTTAGTGCGCATATTGTTAATAGATTGTTATAACAATCTTTAAACTCATGACAAATTTATTTCAGCCTCGAGATGTTACACCCAACAATCTGTTTAAATGTCATTTAGAATTTTATTGTATTTTACCAACAATATGTCACAGGATGCTTCTATACTATCAATGCTTAATATAGTCAGCATTAAAATAGCCAGAGTGAAAAATAATGAGCAAAAAAAGTTAGGAACTTTGAGCATTGAATACTTTTTATGCAATGAAGGATACAAACTACGAGTTTGCCAATATTCAGTATACTAGTATACAGTTTATTATTACTTTACTTTTAATTCAGAATAATTTGCATAAGTTATGCATGTATATTTGTTGAAAAAATGTTTTATTGACAAAAGTCAATATTTTATTTGTATATACTAACTAGTTATAATTTGGATACCCAGCAATAGATAGATAGATGAAAAACCAAAGTATTACTGCACTTTCCACACTTCACCGAAGAAAAGCAAGAAAATTTTACAGTTTGCTTAATGATATCCGCCCAATGAGATGACAATCTGCTTTGACATGATGGAGAACCTTGTACTACCAAAATTATTAAAAGGAGAAGCCTATTATTCTTGGCAGCTTTATTTATATGTCCTAGGTATGTTATTCATAGGGGTAATAAATCTCAGTCTGTTAACAATATATTATTTTTTTAGGAGAACAAAAAGATTCAAATATGATCTGTTCAGCTGTACAACATCTATTAAAAAAATGATCTAATGGATAAGTGTTCGGATGTTTCATCACTTCGGCTGTTTTCTGATTCATACTATGGGCAGAACAAAAACATAAATATGGCTTCTATGCTTTTTGCTCCAAAAAAGCCATGTTTGAAGAAACTGCATATTACACATGTTTCCATAACTTAGGCACTCATATCTGCCAACAGATTGTGTGATTGTTCGAGTTCATTTCAATATAAAAAA